ATGTGATGATGCTCCTTTGTTGTATGTCACACTGTAACATTAGCAGTATAGTGACTCATCAGTGGCTACTAGTTGAGGTGTGACTGTGTGTGTAGGTGCAGTGAAATGACTCAGCTCCTTCTAATGATAAACATGTTTACTGGCAGTTATACTCAATCTCATTCATACATTAAGCACACACATACTGTACTGTACCAGTAATTACTGTACTGGCACCAGTCAACATGTGTATCATTCGTTAACACAATCATTAGTTCTTTAGTACATAATGCTAATCATATCATACAGCAATTACACATTGTGTCTCAATAGTCACTTTTATATCACCATAATGTAGTATCTATGATATTACATGTACTTGTGTATTAAATGTAATCTGTCAGTTGTATTTTGAGCTGTTTTTGTCTATTAATTCACGAGTAATATTATCACAAACAGTGAGTCATTCATCACTGGTTTGTTTGTTTGTTTATTTATTTTACATTACAAGACGATTACACATACTCCATGATGTCACCATCATGAACAAACATGTACATGTACATGTGTTAATTAGTAGAGGTCAGTTTACTAAGAGATGTAAAGTAATCAGTGTAGTATACCGGTATGCTACAGTATACATGTACATGTACATGTATGTACTTATACATGCACTGCATCACTGGTCTGCTCTATAGTGATGACATGGTTTGTTTATGTAGGTTTGGTTCAAATGGTAGTTCCGTTGGTGTTGCTGTAACTGGTTTCTCCATATGTAGTTTGTTCTTTATGATACGGTCCATTGCACTTGACTGACCCTCTCCTCTTATTGATAGACTCCATGGCTATGTGTATAGAGGCTCTGTTTCATGTAATCTTATAGTTGAGACCCTTACTTTTGATTTATTTGAGAAGTTTTGAACCTGCGGAAATAGCAGGTTGTACAATAGCTTTGTGTCGGCTTTAGATCTGAGCTTTGAAAAAAATTGATAATAATAATAATAATAATAATAAATTATGATAATAATAATCTACAAGACAAAACCGGCAAAAAAACACAAAAATGTAATGAACAATTAAGAACTAATAATAATAATGATAATAATAATAATAATAATATTAGCATTGTCTCTGGATTTTTAAAGAGAAAAGAAAAAGAAAAGAAAAAGAACGGAAAGAGAGTGAGAGTGAGAAAGAAAAACGTAAAGTCAAAAAGTAAAGAAAAAAATATAATAAATTTAACAGCAAAACTAGAAGATCAAAGACAACATTATTGAGCCAGTGCATGCATGTCAGTACTAATTTCTCTATAAATGATACACAGGAAGAGAGAGAGGAGAGATGAGAGAGATTGAGAGAGAGTGAGTCCTTCTACTGTTCAGATCTTGCTACACTTGCTAGTCCACTCTTTGGTGCTGTCAGTTTGCTTGGTGGTCTTCCCTGAAGTCGAGCCATGGCCGGATTTATCGCTGGTCTTCCTGGCAGATCCAGCATCTTCTGTTTCTCCTTTTTGTGAGCAGCAGCATTGTAATCGCCAGAGTCAAAGTACTGGACGCCCTGCAAGAGAATAAAATAATAATCATAATAATAATCATGTTAACGATTTATCCAACACCTACATGTAGATGTACATGTACATGTATATTATATATACCATAGGTATTATAGCAGTTATAAAAAATATACAATTATTGAGGATCAATAATTCAAAGTTTTATATATTGCAAATTAAAAATAATTATACTGAAACGCATGTACATGTACATGAAAGAGAAGGAACTCACTCCAGATGATATTTTACGCTGAGCGACACTTTTCTGTTTTGGCTGAAGGTGCTTAGGATAACGACTCATAAGCTCTTGCTCAGACTATGAAAAAGAAAGAAAACAAGTTTTAAAAGACACAGAAACTTTAAAAGTTAAACTGTGATATAGAAATATTGTAAATTAATAAAGATTGGAGTTTAGAACAATGAAGAAGAGACAGGAGAGAAAGAAGAAGACATTAAATGGAGAGGAGAAGGAAGAGGGGGAGAGAGAGAGATTGATTATCACAAGAAAACTGCTTTGTAACAAAAAGGTTGCGTGGGATGAGGCCGATTACCTTCTTGATGGGATCAATCGTGTCCTTCTCTTCAGAACTGGGCTCCTTCACCTCGGGGACGGTAGCTTCTTCCTTGTTTGCCATCTTTTCTAACGTTTCTTTAGCTAAGGCTTGAATAAATGCTCCCAGCAGAAAAATCCGGTAAACAGCAACAAGTTAATTATATTCATTGATGGGATAACCGCCACACCCACCAATAAGTATTTGCTCTGTTCCTAGCTCTGTCATTTGCAAAGTCTGTACTTCTAAACTGCTTCTTCTTGATCTGAAATAAAGCTTTTATGTTAATGTACTTTGATGCCTTTTATTTGAGGAATAAATGTGCTCAAAATACCATTATTAAGAATGAAGGGCGTGGTCACTAATATTACTAAGCCACGCCTACTAAATTAAAACTCCACCCTAAATTTGATAAGCTCCTCCTTTTACTGTAAATGCATGCCAACTGTTGCTCCCTTGTCGAGTGAAGAGGTGAAGAGGGAACGTTACTAAGTGCTTGATATGTTGCTAGTACGAGCTGCTCTTGTACTAGCTCTAGTTATCATCGGGGCTGTAGCTGATGACGGTATACCACCAAGAAAGGTACGATAAATTATAATAATTTTATTTTAAGAGAAAGATGATGAAATCACGTGTCTTAATCTTTCTTTTTCTCTCAGAAATGTGATGTCATTGTTTTGCCCTCGGATGATGACCCAAAGATCATTTACTATCAGTTAAAAAGTGATACTAATGCAACTCACTTTGTCTGGGGCCTACAAGATATTCCATCACTCTTCATGAGTGTGACTGGTCCTAATTCAACCTGTCTTACTGCTGAAGAATTCAATAAGACGATCGACTGGGACAAGTTCTTAGGCGATGATGATAATTGTACTGATCCTTGTGAGATGTGGCCAGAGCCTTGTAACTGTACATGTAACTATGGTGCTTTGAGTATCCCTGGACAAGATGGAGAGTTTGCATTTGCTCTTACTTTTAACTCACTCGTTGAGTTTTATGATTCTCACAGTAAAGCTAATAAAGCTTTCAACCCAAAGAATTGGACTATGTCAAATCTTTACTCCAATTATTCTCTTGCCAATCTCAAGTGGACTTTCAATAAAGACATTAATCAACTTATGACTTCTGGTCCTGGTGGATTGACATGGTACATCAATGTAAGTGATGTTCTTGTATTCTTAATATACATGTACAATGTACATGTACCCTGTAAATTTGATTTATTTAGAATTTTAACATATGAAGCATGAATGTGAATTTATTTTTATTTTCAGCTATTAATGCATTGTGTATTGGGATAAATTGTATATTGAAATATACAATTCTGAATTTTTTTCTATTTTGAATTTTTTCATTTTGTTCATAATACTGTATATGGGATTTTTTTGAGGACTGCAAACTAGCGAATTTTGAGGATTTCTTCCTGATTCACGAAATTAAAATCCACGAATTGGAAATTTAGTAGATTTTGCGAAATATAATTCCCTCGAAAAAACCACTTATGCAGGATGCTCTTTGAAAATAATATATCCTATTTATGGTAGTACATTGTACGTGTACATGTACATGTATAACAATAATGGAGTGAGTAGTGTGTACTTTATTGTTTGTTGGCATTGAGTGTCTGATGTGGTGCCATGTATCTTATAGTAACTTAATTGACTATTAATGATACTAATAAATAATAATAATAATTATTATTATTAACACTTTGCTTCTCTTTGTTATTACATGTAATTCTTTTAAAATTATTAAATTCCTTATTTATTTTATTGATTAATATTCTTTATTCATTTATTCTTTGCTTCTCATTGTCTAGTTAAATGTTCCCACAGAAGGAGGTCGACTAGATTATTTCCCTAAGACACTCTACACCATCAACTCAACGACTTTTGATTTCATCTTTCAGAATTTCCCCTACCAATTACACATTGGTAACAATGCCAGCCGGCTTGTACTGGACGTCACCATTGTCCACGGTCCACTCTCCAGTGGCATCCTTACGTCCCGTTTCT